TCACTGAAGAAAATCCAGACTTCCTTGGCTTTTAATTACTTTCTTTTTATGTGCTGAAAATAAACGTGTAACATCCTTTCGTGGACTTTGGACTTGAACCAGTGTCAAAGGAGGATGTTTAACAGGTGTTCTTAAATATGGATTGCTCCAAGATAAGAACATCTGTGGAAATGGATATTCATCTGACCTAAAGGATTCTCTGGGGAGCCAGCACCATCAACATATTTTATAATTTTTAAGACATGCTTTAAATACACCAGGGTGTGTTTTGTATATTTACACCTAATGCAAATTGGGTGTTTTGAAGAACAGTTTCCTGCTTTGGAAATGAAAGGGAGAGGAAATACATCTTACTCCCTTCCTCCCCCAGTATATAATTTTGGAAAGATTTTAACCACATAAAACTATTCCTTTTGTTTATTTTTCTTTTTTTAATTGCATTAAAAGATGATCACTAAATCCTTCTTAAAGGAAATTGCTGTGTGGAAATGACTAGAACAAAAATAAGCAGGGTTTAAGGACAGCAGAGGTGGCATCTACCTTTCCTTTACACATCAAGATGTAGGCTTGGTTAACTAAAGCTGTCTTAAACATTCAGGATAACGTAAATAACTCTTATTAGCTCTTTAGTTTAGGATTTTTCTCTCTGTGGGCACCCATAAACACTTATTGGGCAAAAAGGTGTCATGCCCTAGAGATAATCCTTCCTATATTACTTGCTATTTGCATAGTCTTTCTTACAGAACATTATCTAGGATCAGATGTTATGATACTTCTAATTAAAGCTTCACTAAGTAGCTAATTATGCTCTCTTCTAAGAGGAGCTTTCTATCATTCTGTCATATTTCTAACATGAAAGTCAACACTGCACCTTCTTCCTCGGTGTGTAGAAGAAACTCTTCTACTTTACATAATCTTTGAAAGTTGCATTAGTTTTGTACAGGAAAGCTGTGGATTTTTTCATGCTAAAATGCATATTTTTCCAATACCTGTTTCAGTATCAGTAGTGGTTGCTCAATTAAAAAAAACCAAAACTTAAGGTTAGGTTCCTTCAAATAAGACCTATTATATGAAGGACTCCCATGTGTTTGTTCACCCAGTGCCTTCTGCCTTATGGAGAGTTTATGGTTTTTTGCCTGTCTCTGTTCATTTCCTCTTTTTATAAAACAAGGATGGAAAATGCTGGTATAAAACTGGAGACTGATTAATTAATTTTTCATCCTCCTTTCCTCTTGAGTACAACAGGAGAGTTCTGACCCATAGGCTGCCTCCTGAATAAGAAAGGTTGTGGTAAAGGAAGTTGTAGTGATTAAAAAACCCAAAAGTGCCACATCTGCAGAAAGTGAGTTGTTTTTAATTACTGTCAACTCATTTCAACTTTGTTTCCTCTCACCTGCTTCCTTTTCCATTTGTATGTGCAAGGGGAAACTTAAAAACCTTAAATTGGTGAAAATAAGAAGCATCTCCACCTGAATATTGCATTTAAAACCAGCCTCTGCTGTTGGTACAGAGTGCTGGGGTTTGTACCTATCAGATGTGGGACTGAAATAATCTTGTGTTTCAGGGGAACAATTTTGTAACTCACAGAACTGTGACTGTGTGTGCTCATAGTGCCATTTAGTGATGTATTTAGTAATCCTGCCTAGTTCCTCAGGGCTTTGTATTAATCAACAAGTTATTGAATGTGCTCATTAAATCTATATTTCAGGCATCATGGCTAACCCAGGGTTCTCTGACCAGCTTAGAGCAAGTGTTTCATGGAGAAACCTAATTTTATATTGTTATTTATACTGTTTTAATTGTATCATTGTCATATTGGATTGGCTTTATAGTTCTCTAACTCCTGAAAATGTTTTAAATGTAGTGCCATAAAGTACATAACTGTGACATTGTTTCTGATAATCTTATTTAGATGTGATTCATTAACTCCACTCCTAATTATGTGAAGTGGGAGAGTTATTACAGGTGCTTAAACATAGACCTGTAATGTTATTTTGGCTGTCTGAGACCATCTAGAGAGGGTTGGCAGCTACTGGTGGAACATTTGCCCACTTCTTCCCACAAAGCTCATTTTAAGCTGTTTATATTTTTAAAGTTGTATGGCCTTTCAGCAAATGTGTTTGTTGGCATTTAAGACAAACCCACTCTTTTATGCTCTTACTATTCTTTCCTATCACTGTCTCTTGCTGCAATAAAATATAAATTCTTTTCTATATTTTTTCCAGAGAGGCCAATGCTGATTGCAATTAAATAAATAGCTGAATAAACTCTAAGTTACCTTTAATACATTAAAAAAGTAATTGTCTATCTAGAAAGCAGATTACATCATCTGCTGTTGTAGAAGAAAGGACTGTCATGATTTTCTCTGCTGATGAGTTTTGCTTTTCCATGAACTGCCACAGTCCTTTGCTATGGGCCAGAAACAATTTTTGTTCATGGGTCATGTTACTGCTTCCTATACAAGGAATATTAATACTGCACTTCAGCAAGTTTCCAGTTGGAGTAAGAAATGTATTGTATTTGTTGTATATATTACGTAGTTTAATCTTGGTACAGGTGTGTGCCAGTATACAGTTGGTATTTGTAATAATAAAAATAAACTCGTCTAATTAGATCAAGAAGTTGAAACTTGGCTGAACTATATTTTTGCATAGAAACTGATTCTCAAAATACTGAAAAGCATATTTATAATATGGAGTTTCTTGTGCTTTCTGGAAGGTCTGAATGGGTGTAAAATAAGCCAGAAAGATTTTTATCAAAGTATTTTAAAAGTTAAGAAAGAAGCAACAGTGAGAACACTTTCACTTCCATTTAGGAGCCAAGAAGAAATATTCAGTGAATGAATATAAAAGCTCTGTGAGACACTGAGGAAATGTGGATCAGTGTGCAGTTGTTTCTGCTGCCACACCTTACACAGGGGAGCTAGAGGAAGCTGGTTTTACTTTAAATAATCTGATTTTCATTGTCTGGTTACATGAGCTGGGCTTTACAGATCCTGTATCAAAGACTCAGGTTGGTGGTGTTTATCTTGCAACCATAAGACAAAAATCCCAGTCATGAGTCAGAGTCCTGTTGGGAGAGAAATAGTGCAGCTAAAGAGCAGAAAGGTGTGGGATGTGTTTGGCTGAAGATCTAGAAATAAATTTGATTGCATAGCCACAATTTTAGAATTTGTCTGTAAAACACAGCTCTTAAGATGGTGCCAAAAGTGGTCTTGAGTGGTGTTGGTCCTGAAAATGGAAAATAAGCAGGAGGTCTTAGGGCAGAGGGGAGAGCAAACATTTCACCTCTTGCAGTGTGGTAACTTTGTTTTGTGTTTGTAGCTATTTTCCTGTTGTGTTACAAGGTTAAAATGCAGCTGTTCCCAGGAACAAGCAGTAGTGCTGTATTTTATGTATTTTGATGTGATGCCATTATAAATAAAGAAGGTGGTTAAATGATGCTTTATTATACCATCTCCTGCAGGAGGGAGGTCCTTTCTTTTATGTGTCCTGCTGATGGGTCTGGTTCATCTGTGAAAATGCAGTGGAAGGCCACCAAGAACACCAGCCATGGCTGCTTTGTTCCTTTGCTTGTCAAGGAAGGAATTGCCAGGTTGTTGTGTAGATTTGGGTTTTGGAATGAGGAGGAGGAGTGAAGACAGAAATTCAATTTGCTTGTAAAAGAATAGACCTGAGGAATAATTAGAAAGCCTTTTGGAAAGAAACACTTTAGATATGTGTGTGCATAGCACATTTAGGTAATTTAAGAAAAAGCAAACTTAAAGCCACTATTATGGAAGACATTTTAGTAAAGTGTTAAGTATATCAATCCTTTTTCCCTCTCTTTCTTTAATTCTATATGTGAAACAAGTATAAGATTGCTAAGTGTGGATTACAATGTTCTATTGTCCAGATAATGAATGAGTTCTGTATGTAGTTCTATTCTTAAATAAAAATAATCCTTGAAGAACAGGATGTATGTACATCTGACACAGCTTCTGTCAAGTTTTTATCTCTATGGAGTGCCCCTATTAAAAACACCTCTAGGAACTCTACTAATTTATATTCAGTTTAAAAGAATTTTAGGTTAACCTTCTGAAAAGGTCTTGCTATTACCTAGCTGTGATTGAGGAGTAAGTTAGGATAAGGATTGAAGTTTTCCATAGTAATTCATCATTGTCATTGAGGAATATTTTCATAGTTCAGAGACATTTTGGTTTATTCCTATGGGATAAGCAAATCTTGCTTTCTTTTTTTTTTCCATGGTTGTTTTTTGGACTGTATTTAATCATAGTCTAAATGGTGATGTTTCATTGCCAGCAGTCCCCCAGCAAGGTCTCCTCGTGGTGTTTTTGTTCCCACATCAAAAGTATTCATAACTGCACGTGCAGAATTCCAGCCTGACTGCTCCCATCTGTGTGGGGTTTACAGCTCTGTAAATACAGATACCTGGAAGATTGAAACTTGCTGTGCTCAGTATATGCACTTCATTCCTTAGGGTGGAAAATAAACCAAGGAAGTTTTCCACCTGTTCTTGAACAGAACTTGACTATCTGAAGATTAATACAGTTTGGGGTTTTTTTTTCTTTATTTTATATGAATTAAAAGTCATGTGTGGTATTGTGGCTTATGGCACTGTTGGTACAATTGCCTGGTGTTATTCAACTTCCCATTTTCATTTGCCAAACCTTAACTATTTTGGGTGAAATTTTGCGTTTTAGATGTCTACATTCATCTTAAAATTTCAACCAAAATGGTTCAAATATTCCCATGAATGAAACTATTGGAAGGACATTCCCAATGTTTGTTTTCTAGAGACCCTCAGAATCTGTAACTAATTAACAGCTGAGCAGAGCAACTGTGCCATATGATATTATGGACATGAAAGGGGGGGTAACAAGGAGTGTATAGATAATTCTTGGACTTGCCATGTTTTGAATGTTTATTTTATGAACTTGTTTTGTTGCCATGTGGGTGTGCAGCAGCTTACACTGTGGGATTTATCTCATTTTGCTTTAGATTGTTGGTTGCCAAGTCAGAAGAGAGCCATTGGACTCCACTGAACGATACACTCGCTGGATCAATAACCTGACCCAAGAGCAACTTCTCACACAGGTATTTTTGTTCCAGCTGTGTCTAAAATTATGGCAGGAAAATAGAGCAGGAGGTTTATTTAGATGGATTTTTTTCAGTCATTAGCAATGCTTGATAACTTACTAAGGTTATCAGATTCTTGTATTTAAAGGCCAGTCTGTTTGATAAGAGCCAAGGCTGTGGTGCATGTGAAGGATGACTTCACACTGGGTGAGAATGAAGCTTTCACTTCAGTTCAGGGTGAGCCTTCCATGTCTCACTGCTGTTGTGCTTTAAATACATCTGCTTTTGTGTTCTGATGATCAGGGGTTTGTTTGTAAAAGGTGTATTTAAGCACAAAAGGAAAAAAATCTTTCCTGAGAACGACTCCTTTCCCACCCAAGATACCCACCACTCCTGTGCCTGTTTTAAGTTTTGCTCAGGATCATTTGAAAATAGCAGTTCTTCAGGCATTAAACACTGGGCTCATTACCCATGTTTGTAAGTGAGATGGGTCTTGTGCAACTGAAGATGACAGTTTTGGCATAAAGAAAGGTTGTTTCATTAGGCAGGAGGCCAGTGCTGAACTAAAAGAGACTTTGGCAAAAACAAGTTAAGCCGTGGAAGAAATCAATCCAGCTTGTGGGGGAATGTTGCGTGGAATATTGTAAGAAACCTAATGGATGGTTAGCAGAAAACATCCCAGCAGGCATTAAGATCCAAGTATTTGGGGTTGGGTTTTGGGATGCTATGGTAGGAAGACATTTGCTTTTGATTTCCCTGGATTTAAGTGGCTGAAAAGATTAACATACCCAGTTTGTTAGACTTCATTATAAACTGTCTTGTGTTCCCCATTACCAAACCCCAAAGACATACTCACAGGCTCTTCTGGGCATTGTAACACAGGAAGGAATCTACAGACCCTGTTTTGAAGTCAGTAGTGATGTTGCAGTTCCCTGCAATTCACCAAGGGAAAGCAATTACAGGAAAAGTTACCCAGAGAATATTTGGATTCGCCTTTGAGTATGACATTAGAAAAAACAGAGACTTAATCTGGTGAATTTATGTGACAGCAGCACCTGGATCACTGTGTTGGTGAAGAGAAAGAAAAAGCTGAGGATGTAAAAACTTGTCCTACACAGTCTGTAGTGTTTCATCTAAATAGCCACTGGATGGGGTCTTTAATGAATTAAGCTGAAAATGAAAAGGAATATCCTAATTTTGAAGTTATTTAAGGGAGGATATGAAAAAAAAAAAAGAAAACTCATTTTAAGATGGGGAAGTCTTTGTTCTGGAAGAGATGATTTAATACAGTGGTTTTGACAGTAGGATGCAAATATAGTGACCTGGGAAGTCCCTTGCAACCTCATGTGCCTACAGATACCTCTTAAAGCCTTAATCAATCCACTATTTTTACAGATGGTTTAGATTCACCCATTTTACAGAGATATTAGGAATTTTAAAAAATCCATTGAGTTTGGAACTGGAAGGCTCCATAGCAGAACTTGTGCCACTCACCCATGAGTTTATTAACCAGCTCAGATTTATAGAGTCACACTATTTGTGTGCCCCTCATCGATTTTTAACACGTTACCTGCTCTCCACCAAACTTAAGGCAGGAACAGCAAGTCCTCAGAGACAACACATTTCTGAGAACTTTATGCAAGTCTGAAGCTTGGAGAGGTTGTGCTGCACCAGCTGTAACTTGTTTGTTGTTAAGCACCACAGAACCCCCTCGAAGGGAGAGTTGAGGTGCCCAATCATGGGACAAGCTTCAGCTGTGGCACCAGGCTGGGGCAGCTGGGCTTTTCTGGCTCTGCCATCACAGAACTGCTTGGTCTCCAGAGCATGTCAGCACTTCTCCTGCCTTTGTGTCCCTTCTTCTGGTCAGGAATTCAGGTAGGGGGATGATTATTTTGTATTTTCTTACTTGAAGTATGTGGCTGAGGAGGAACTGGGAGTAAAAGCCCTCTCAGCTGTGCTGTAATAATCAGGGTATGAATCAATTATGTAAGGTTAGGCCTGATTTGTCCCACTCCATACACTTTATTTTGGGTGTGCTTTTTTAAACTCTCTTTAGAAAATGAACCCCAAGAAAACTCTAATGATGGACCTGTGCTAATGGATTTGTACAATCTCTGAGAGGAGCATCCTTCAAGGAATTCAGGAAGATTGGCTTTAATTTACAGCATGTTGTCTCTAGCAGTTCCTTGTAGTGAAAGAATGCTCAGCTTTTTTGTAGCTGCCTCTGTGCTCGATGCCCAGCTCTCTTTCCAGCTAATTCTGTATTTCTCTATTATGCACATGCAGATTATTTTGGGAAGTAAATTGGGAAAGCATTTAAAAAAGGAAAAAGAGCCAGTTGCCAAGATGGTGTCGTCCCTGATCATAATATTCCTGTTATTGATCAAACAACATTGGATTTCTCTACTGGCCAGTGCCCAAAGCCCAGTTTGGGAGGGGTGGGTGGGAGCAGATATTTTGGTAGGTGCCTTCCTACCCTCCATGCTGGCTCTGGGTTTGTATCACTTGAGTCAATACCAGATTTTTGGATCAAATGTCCATCCCCTGTCCTCATGCTGAGAAGATCATTCAATACAAAATACTGCCAGCATTTTAACTTCTCTTTTCCCTTAGCCCTGGCCTCTTGATGCTTACTCATCCGTTAAATGTTTCTCTAAACAATTATACTGTAACATTCCAAAGATACTTTATGGTATGCGTGAAAATTCAGAATATAGACCCCAGAGAGTGTGGGGGGACTGGCAGAGTACAAAGAGAGCATGGTAATGAAAAAACCCTACTTTTTAAAAGATTAATATTTGCTTTTTCATGGTTATCTTGTGTATTAGGTGATTAAAGCAGGCTTTTATAGGTGTAGTGATATAAGCCTTAAAATACATGTATATGTGTTCTGGTAGACTCACTCTTTCTGGCCAAGAGTGGAAAAACCAATTAAAAGTGGATAATCTTAACTGTTCAGTAAGAACATAGCACAGTGACAGGTACAGGAAGAAAATGAGTAAACAAATTAAGAGAACTGACTGTTTTGATGTTGGAGTAAGTGAAAAAAATGTAGATTAAAACTAATCCAACAGGATATCCGAGTCTGGATTGTGCTTGTAAATGTGACTGAGGTTTGATCATGCAGCCCTTCTTGTATGCTGGAAATTTTAGTGGGCTGTATAAGTAAAAAGGTCTGAATGGTTTTATGGTTGGATTAATTGCACAAATATTTATACAAGTAGTTTTTAGGGATTGTTGGAGACTGTAAGGAAAAGAGCTGAGTTCATATCCATGTCTGTTAAATCACTGCCTTAGCTTGGTTTAGTCTCCAGCCCATGGAGTGTTCTGTTCAGCCTGAAGCATAATTCCATCTGACCTACCATTTTTTCCTCCCCAAAGACAAGAGACTTCTCTGCTTTCATATGGTTGTTCACTTAGAAAGCAGACAGCAAGTCTAGAGTGACACATGAGGAGACTCCTGCCTAAAGGAATGGGCCTGTGCATGATAAGACTGGACTGTCCTAATGTAGATAAATAACAGCCTGAACAAGCCACAGTGGTTGTGGGTGTCTGCTTGACTTCCTGATACCTGCTGGCCTTTGCAGGTTATCTCAGAGCTCTTCCTGTTGGATAAATCTGGAAGTTGTCACAGGTGATTTGTAGTTCTTAAGAATAATCTCTCCCAACCACCTGACAGAAGAGCAATAATTAACATTATAGTTTTATAGCACATGCCTTTCTGTTCATTCATAGGTTTAAAAGCTGCACTTCTCCACTCCTATACTAGAGTTTAATTAATATTTGATAAAGATTCATGCTTCAAATCAGAACTTACTACGAATGCTCAGTTTGGAAATAGATCCAGCACTGTGGTTGAGTCAGAGCATGTAGCTTGTTTTTTAAAGCAAGGAGGACCTGACAGCCTGGCTGGACCTTTTCCATAAATTCAGTGCACTCAGTATTGCATTGCCATAATGTGTCTCAATAGGCATCTTCTTAGTGCTCAAAAGCTGGTAGGAATAGATTGTAAGTAAGATTAATTTTCCAGGTGGGCCACAGATTGGATATCTCTGGCACAGAGCATCTGTTTTGTCCACTTGCAGACAGAAAATCCCACCTTTATTAGTGCTTGGGTTGGTTGTTGTGTCAGAACTGAAATAATCATTGAGGCAGCACTCAGAAAGGGGATGGATGTGTGCAATGCCTGATGTCTGGTTATGTTAGTAAAGGCAAAACTGGACAGAGGGAAAGGCTTTCTTACTTAAAAATGAATAAAACATGAAAAGGCTGATTGAAATCCCCTCCACCCCCCCATCTTTGCCACTATTAATGGCTGGCTTGTGTTTGTTGTCTTTCAATAAAAAGATACTCAACACTTTCTTGGGATTTTTATTTTTGGTCACCATTTCCTCTTCTTTCACCCCTTTTATCTAAAAAATGTGTAATTAATAGTGAGGTCCTGATGCTTTAATGAATGAAACAGCCAAAGTCCCAAACTGGTTATTACAGCAGATTTTAGTGGTTTATATGGGGTTGAGCCTATAGTATATAAGAAAAAACCAACTGGCTGCTTCCTTTTGTGGTTGATCCTTGTTCTCCTCTGGAGGAGAATGAACCAAAGTTTCACAAGCTTGACAGTGTTTATATTTACATGTGAAAATGCGTGTCAAAGGGTTCATGGAGCTCTAGAAAGTTTAATGAGAAGTGGCTTACCCACATCTGTGAACTCAAAGCACAATTAGAACTTCCCAGTGAGGCTTTATGTAAAGGCAGCTCAGGGTCACATATTTTGAACTTAGAAACAGGTTTGGAGGAATTCAGAAATGTATGCAGCTTGTGCTTTGTGTGTGTGCAGTTTTGCATGAGTTTAAAGGTGTCCCATAGGGGGAAGGAGTGTTGAATAACTGGGATTTTTCCTCTTCATATTTTGTTGGATGATTTGCATGCTTAAACAAGGCTGGAATGTGGTTCCTAATACATGGCGAGGTTTAAATGGAACAGAAATATTATAATATAGTATAAAAGCAACTTGTGAC